TCCAACCCTGGTAATATCTATGATTCTATGATCTATACAGGCAAAAGGCACTGTTACAAAACATGTCAGCTCACATAATGTTAAACACAATTTTGCTCTTAGTAATACAGGCAAGGATAAGGATAAGCACAATCAACTAACACCTTTTAAAATACAACTGTCCTCCTCCACCCTAAGGGCAAACGGCAAAATGTTCAGAAGTGGCTAGAAATTTCAATGCCTTAATTTTGGATGCCCAGATGGAGACTTCTTAAAAGAACATGATTTTCAGAAAGGGCTGAGGACCCACCCTCTGAAAATCAGACGTTTTAAGAGTCTCAAATTGAAGCACACAGAAGCACTAGTCACTGTTGAATGTGTTGGCCAAAATCACTTTTAGCATCATGAACACAACATGTTTCCCCAGTATAGACAAGCCCCAGCTGTGTGTCAGAAAAAACAGTAGATCCCAGAATGATGTAGCCGAGCCTTAAGGGCAAACCAGCTTAAACAGGAATTTGGGTGAATCTGTTTTCCATTTGAACATGTTATTGATTTCAAATAGAGAATGGTGGGATGAGAACTTTAATATTGATTGAAACTGGTAACCCTTCACAATTCCATGGCACCTTTGACTTGAATATCTGTGTTTACAGACTTTAATCAGTCCTCATAATATGCCTTTGAGGCTGTGAAGGGTTATTAGTCAAACCGGTAAAACAGGAAAATGAAAATACTCATCTTTTTGCCCATCTACACTGAAATGTTTGATGCCTATTATCACCAACAATTTGAAAGCTTTGATCAGACTGGTCGTCTTTATTTTTAGCAGTGGGTAAGTTGAGGAACAGAGTTCAATGAATTGTCAAAGATCACATATCGGGTCAAACCAAGGAGTTCTGATTTCAGTCCCCCACTGTAACTGTAACTAACATATAATGCATGTATGTGAGCACAAAGAAGAGATGGGATGGGAAAGAATTTTTGCAGTATCTCATTTGACACATCACACAACGGATAAAGCCATAGGCCATTATCTTAGTTATTCTCTTCATTAAGCGTTGAGAGCATGCAGCACCACACAGGCGGTATTAAACTCTGTTCAGGGTCAGGCCCTTATTCTTAAAGATTATGGGGAAAAAGCAAGGCACATATTTATAACCGTGTCCGCATCTTATGTGACCTCCACTCCTCCTCAGCTTTGATCCAAGCTGCTGATCTGAGAAATGGATTCTGATTTCCATTTGATAAGGCGTAGGTTTTTGATGAAGGGAAATCCAAAAATAATCCTTGACTGAGCAGATAACTCAACCAAGGAGCTCAGATGAATATGCAAAGGAACCGGCAACTCTGCTAGATGAATTCTCATGATCGCTTAGTCCCTGGTGGAAGACGAGTCCCATGGCGAGTGGCAGGAGCTGACCAGATCATGGTTGCAGAGCCATGATTTCATTCCAGCTGCATGCCTAGTAGATACCCACTATGAAACATTGCATTATGGATCTAAACAGAGCCAGCATGGTCTAATGTATTCCATATTTAAGCACTGACAGCTGGATACTTCAAGGTGCTGACCATTCCTGCCTGGATCCAGGAAATTACTTAAGCACATGTTCAGCTTCAAGCATATAAATGGTCCCAGTGAGGTCTAGAGGAATGCTAATGTGCTTAAAGTTAAGCATGTACTAAATGCCTTCATGGATTGGGACTAGAGTGCTCAGCCCCTTGTAGGACTCAGCCCCTGTTAAAACATAGGGTTTTTTAAAACCCAGTTGATGATGAAAGCTCTCAAATGTATTGCCATTCAAACATGGCTATACGATAAGATTGCAGAGCCTCCAAGGCAACATAAGATTGTAAGCTCCTTGGGGCAGGAACCATCTTTTCTCCTGTTTGTACAGTGCCTAGCGCAATGGGTTCTGGTCCATAACTGGGTCCATAACCAGGAGCTATGGTAAGAGAAATGATGATTTTGGAAAGCAGTATAACCATTTAAATCCCACTAATAGCAGTGAAGGGTGGTGAATGTTTCCATTCACATGCTACTTCAATTCATTTACAAGAAACCATTTATTATGTTTTTTAAAAAGTTACTATTGACGTATTGGGACATTTTGTTGCAAACATGGTCCGAATCCTGAATAGTTCCACTGACTCTAGTCGGACTATTCTCAGGCTTCAAGGGCAAGAACCACTCATGGGAGTAAGGGCTGTAGGAATGAGCCCTGTGTTAGTTGCAGAACAATTTTCCTAACTCATGAAGGCCCAGTAATAGCTATCTGAGAGGCTTATCTCACAGTAATGAGAAACAGCATGCATGCGTACCACTATCTTTTGAGAAGCAGTGAGCAAGGGATGGAATGTTGGCTACATAGCATATTACTTGGCTTTTGAGGCAATGGCAAGTGCAAACATTTTAGTGTCACAATAAATCTGGAAAAACGACCTGGGTATACCTTGTATCACCGCTAAATTCTATAAAACAAAAGAAAACAATACTAAGCTAGACAGACATAGGCTAGTTGCACATCTGAAAATACTGTGGAAATGTATTACAATGAGATCATGATCTGGGGCATATTTCTGTCATAGGACCAGACACCTATTCCCACTTGGATAAAGTGGCTGTTCTTAAAAAGGGAGGAATAGCAGATATGATAAACTGCAATTGTCTAGGTACAGCCTTTTTTACAGGTCTGATAGATTCCCAGGCTGCAGCAAGTTAGTTGCCTTGTGCATCACTGCTTGTCATTCCCTCTGCTAGTGAAATCTGGCACTGACAAGGAGGAGATGTTTTGGAGCAGGGGTTCTCAAACTTCATTGCACTACGACCCCCTTCTGACAGCAAAAATTACTACACAACCCCAGGAGGGGGGACTGAAGCCTGAGCCTGCCTGAGCCCTGTGGCCCAGGGTGGGGGGGCCAAAGCCCGAGCCCCATCACCCTGGGTAGAGGGGGGCAAAGCCAAAGCTCAAGGGCTTCTGCCCCAGGCAGGGGGTCTGTAACCTGAGCCCTGCCACCTAGGCGGTGGGGCTTGGGTTTTGGCCCTGCGCCCCAGCAAATGTAAGCCAGCCCTGATGACCCCATTAAAACAGGGTCGAGACCCACTTTGGGGTGGCAACCCACAGTTTGAGAACTGCTGTTTTGGAGCATCCAGGCCATCTTTTCCATCTTTAACTTGAATGGTTCCTGACATTTCTTTGTATCTTGTTTATTCCTTGCTGCTGGGGTCAGGTCCATCATGCTTGCTGAGGTGGAGTTGTTTGGAAGTACTTTTGATTTGTTTTTCTTACCTAAATATCTGTATCTTTTAGGGGGTAATTCAAACCGAGGCTGCCCATGCACCAGTGAAAGGACCGGCAAAGACCTCCAGAATAGCAGGTCAGTGTGACCCTCACTGTTTTTCTATCATATTTAAAAGTCTATGCATATATCCATTTTAAAAACTATAATTTCAAGCAGGGCTGAATTAAGGCATATATTCCCTAGGTTTGTGTCTAGGGCCCCAGTGATTGAAATCCCATGAAGTCAGAATCTCAGTTTTGATTTTTTAAAAATATTATTTTTTGCCCATATAGACGTGAAGAATAGTTTGAAAATAGGAACTGAGTGTAACCCCATGCCTGCCAGAGTCTGCTGACAGTCTGAAACCTGAGCTCCCAGAGGTGCTCCATTCACCTTAACTCTGAATCCTGCTACCACCCCAAGGAGATGCACGGCTACAGGATGGCCATGGGACTAACAGGGGCCCCATGTTCATTGTGCTTAGGGTCCTGGATGGCCTTAATTTGATCTTCTCTGTGGGTACATTTGGTTGCAGACATAATAGGTCTAGTCTCATGATTTTAATGGGAGAAATGACCGACATGGCTAATGTATATCAACTACTTATTGCACTGATTTGTGGTCTAATTTTCACCAGTGGTAATCCAGATTAATCCCATTAGCATCAGTGGAGCTACTTCTGATTAATACTAGTGTAAACGAGAACAGAATGTGGCCCATTGGCCAGTCTATACTGTTACTACTCTCCCTGCCAAATCCACTGTGTTCTGCACCATATAAAGACTCAATATACACTGTTACTTTTCAAAAGTAGTTATAGTAATAAATAACTGGCATTTACAGACTTTTAATCATACACTGTAGCGGCGAACCAAAACAGGGATGAATTGCCCTCCATGCAGGAAGATAATACACAAAGGGGGCGTTGAGGGGGGGCAGGGGTTGTAAACAGTATGCAGGATGACTTCACATAATCCCGACAATACAGTGCTATCCTTCAGAGGCAGATGATGACATTAGGTGCTGCATGAGCTGTTGCTAAGCTTTCCAACAACATTTATTCTTTAGCCACAAGCTACTCCTGTTCTTGGTCGTTAACAAAGCCATTCTTGTCAGAAAACATTGTTCTTCCTTTTAAAACTTTCTAGGACAAAATGAACTTGTTAGCAGTCCAGTGTGAGCCTTAAATTAAAACGAAACTGGGTCTCTGCTCAAGGACCTGCTGACTGCTCCATGCTCCTGATTTCATTTTCAGCAGAACGTCGGTGCTTTAGTAACGGATTATCTCCGCAGTCTGGGGCATAAAGAAGATGCAAATTAATTTTTCAGCAAGACACACTACTGGCTCAGACATCTTCCCTCCGCCCATTGCCTTAACATCAATGTCTTGTCTAGTTAAATGCCAGTAAACAAGTGTAACACTCTAACAAGCCACAAATTAGCTTATTGACACCTCTGTCAGCTGTCTCCTACTTCTAAAAATGTCAGGTTTCTGAAAAGGGGTAATAACATTGGGAGTCTAACATAAAATTGTTTCTTGTATGCATGCCCCTTGACTTATTCCTTCCCCATCCAAAGACCCTTGTTAGCATATTGGATAAATATATTTTCAGTGTGCACACAGCTTTTTTCAAGCTGCTGAACTTAAACTCACGGACTGTTGCTTCTGCATGTAACTTAACTCTTTAGATTCTGCAGGGAATTAAAATGTGCCTTTTTTCCCCCGTCAGGCTTTCTTATTTTTCCTGTGTTCATTTAGGGGATGGTTAAAGTGTTGAGCTGGATCCTCAGGTGGCATAAGCCATTGTTGACTTCACTGGGGTTACACCACTTCACACTAACTGGAGATTGGGGCCATTGGCTTGACAGCCATAGAAATTAGAAACGAACGAATTTCAGACTGCTGGGAAATCAGAGTAAGTACAGAAAAGCACCAAACGGTTCAGATGAATCTAACTGAACCTTCTGAGTCCTCAAAACTGGCTTGGAAGTCTCACAACAGGCTTTCTTCTCATGCTGTGTCTCTGCACAGCAGAGAACCCCTCCAGCACATGCAATAGGGATGCAATCTCTCTGCAGGACCCCCCTCCAGTGCCCCTCACTCTTTCCCAGAAGGAAGCTGAGATGGATGGATAAACTGGGGAGCATTCACATCCATAGCCGATTCAGTCCTTGAGTTTGCAGATGACACTAAGCTGGGAGAAGTGGTAGATATGCTGGAGGGTAGGGATAGGATATACAGGGACCTAGACAAATTAGAGGATTGGTCCAAAAGAAATCTGATGAGGTTCAACAAGGACAAATGCAGAGTCCTGCACTTAGGATGGAAGAATCTCATGCACTGGCAGCAGTTCTGCAGAAAAGGACCTAGGGGTGACAGTGGACGAGAAGCTGGATATGAGTCAACAGTGTGCCCTTGTTGCCAAGAAGGCTAACGGCATTTTGGGCTGTATAAGTAGGAGCATTGCCAGCAGATCGAGGGACGTGATCATTCCCCTCTATTCGACATTGGTGAGGCCTCATCTGGAGTACTGTGTCCAGTTTTGGGCCCCACACTACAAGAAGGATGTGGAAAAATTGGAGAGAGTCCAGCGGAGGGCAACAAAAATGATTGGGGGACTGGAGCACGTGACTTACGAGGAGGGGCTGAGGGTACTGGCATTATTTAGTCTGCAGAAGAGAAGAATGAGGGGGATTTGATAGCAGCCTTCAACTATCTGAAAGGGGGTTCCAAAGAGGAAGGATCTAGGCTGTTCTCAGTGATAGCAGATGACAGAACAAGGAATAATGGTCTCGAGTTGCAGTGGGGGAGATTTAGGTTGGATATTAGGAAAAAACTTTTTCACTAGGAGGGTGGTGAAGCACCGGAATGGGTTACCTAGGGAGGTGGTGGAATCTCCTTCCTTAGAGGTTTTTAAGGTCAGGCTTGACAAAGCCCTGGCTGGGATGATTTAGTTGGGGATTGGTCCTGCTTTGAGCAGGGGGTTGGACTAGATGACCTCCAGAGGTCCCTTCCAGCCCTGATATTCTATGATTCTATGCTGATGCAGCCACCAAGGGTGCTAACAAATTCTAATTGCACAACAGCAATCTTTGTGTCATAATTCATATTTAATTGTGTGCTGGAAGGAACCGTTTGCTGGTTTCCATCTATTGAATACTGAAGTACATCTTGGCCTTGCGTTGTTCAGAAAATATCAGAGTGATCTGCCATGACCATTCCCCCAGGGGTGTGATTGCTAACCTGCTTCTCTGGCGCAGGATTGTGTCAACCTCAGGGGCAAGGAAATGCTTCCCTCTGCTGAGACTACAGCTCACATTGAATCCTTCTTGTAGGTCAACTGCTGCCCGTGTCTTCAGTTTGAGCAGGAACACGGAAACAGAAGAAAACGGAGGTGGGTGGAAATACACCATTGCTTAATATGTTCTGAAGGTCAGAGAGAAAAGTCCTTGGCCTAAATCAAATTGTGCCTGATCTAAAATTAAAAAGACTTAAATGCTTAGAATTTCAGAGAGACTCAAACTAATGGCTTGTTTCTTCCCCCTCCCTGCTTACTTGTTGCATAAATTGCAAATGTATCCTTATGGGGATAGTATTTAAAAGCCAACTTAAAATAGTATTTTTACTATTGTTCAGTGCATGAGAGACCTATAACATGAGTCATGTGGTTAGTCACTCTTGGAATCAGCACCTCTCAAGGAAAGAGAAGGGATAGAACTATTCCTTATGAGAACACTTCTTTGCAATGAATTTATACAATCCTGGGAATTAAAGACTTGTCACCGTAAAACCAAACTGTGCTGCTGTAAGAACTGCCTCAATCCCTGTTTGTGTGCCTCGTGCTCACCCTCGCTCTATGTAATGTAGTTCAGTTTTTCCTGAAATGGTCCCTTAAATTTGAATTTTCCTGTAGAGCCGAGGTTAATCAGATGACTAGAATAACCACAGTTATATTTTCCCAGTCATTCTTTAACCCAAACTGACAACATACGAGAAAAAAATCAGTGGAGAGGGAAATTTTATTGCCTTCCATGAGGTTGACCTAAAGGTTTTCTTGAATTCAGGGCCAAATTCTGAATTCTCAATCCATCCTTACTTAAGCAAATTCCCGAATGATTTCCTCCACAGAATCCATGTGGAGTTCAGATTAGAAATCAATGGCATGATATGTCTATCTAAGGATTTTTGGTCGAGTCATTAATTCTCAGTACTAAAATAAAGCAGTGACAGTGGGCAAAGTGCAGTACTCACTACAAATGAGTGGATTATAATTAGTCAGGCAGCATTCAACTATGTTTGAATCCCAAACACTTAACCAATCCGCTCCAGATATAAAAGTAAGCTCAAGATTTTGTTTTTAAAAGGAAACAAAGTAGATTATGTTCAGCTCTACACAAATAAAAAAGAACCCATCAGCTCTAAAATAAATTGTTCAGCCTTCTATTGTGGGCAAATACTTAGCTCCATGTAAATGTGTTACCTTTACCCTGTTAATGCATTAAAAATGACAGTATCCACGTATTACATACTGGTTAGTCACTATGTCCAGAACATAGCTTGCTTCTTAGTGAACCCCCAATTATTTTGCTCCAAAGGCTCCCTCCCTAATTTTAAGGGCTAATTACCCAGGCACATTGCCATACTGTTGCCAACATACTAACAGTATTCCCAGTTTTCCTTAATAGTGTTGCATCACTTCAAAGCACTCCTGTTCCATTTCTGCAATAAGGCCAAAATCAGATTATTGTATTTTCACTTCCAGTTTAAAATGTTGTATAGGAAGCATTGTTGAGCATTTGAATGCACCTGCTGTCCACCATCTCCCCACAGCTCTGCTAAAATCACCTTTTGCTTATGGACAAATAAATGAGGGGATAACAACGTGGGTTAGGATCATCATGGTGTAATCTTAACTTTTATTTGAAATGTAAATACCAGCTTTGTGGTAGATGACTACAGCTGTGATAAGAGAAGGAAAGTAGTTTAAAGGCATGTAATCAGCAACAGAAGTGGGCAGATGCAAGTATTTTTAGAGCATCCTGTAAATGCCAGAGATAGCCAGATCTTCTTATTGTACCCAGCATTGTCTTATAGGGTTATTAACATGTAATGTGGATAGAAATGATCTGGAGAAACTAGGCAAGAAATTAATATGAAAACTGCCATTTTGTTTTCATATATTTTACTGATTGCCAATGAAAGGTGTCACCCTGACAATGTGCCTCTACTATGATGTAGAGGGATGATTGCTTAGGGTAAGAAAGATTGGCTCAGTCTTCAAGTCCCATTCATCCCTTGGCCTATCTGCGGAGGCTGTCAGAAGAAGGTTTGCTTGGTGCCAGTTGTGGCCATGGTCCTGTACAATGGACACGTGGGATTGTATTAATGATGCACATGTACTCATTTTGCACGGTTCAGGAACAAACTTCTAGTCACTGCTGACTGGGGTCATAATATGTACAAATGTTCCACATACCATTAATAACCTGGGCAATCCCATTCCTTCACCTGTTTGCATGACAAGCATCTCAGCATTTCACCAAACTATGAAGTGACTTTGTACTTTGTGTAAAAATCTACTGCAGTTGTTTAGGGTTAGACTATAGGGTATAACTAGTAGCAGTGGGATGATATTAAGGAATAGAAAATTACGCTTATATTAAGCAAATCTTCTCTGGTGAGCTTCATTATTAGTCTCCCAAGAAAGTGGAGACTTTTAAGGTTAGACAACATGATTGGCTAGGAAATATGCCATAGGGAACAATCATGTAATGGCCAGGCAGAAACAGACCAGGAACCCTAATAGTCCTTTCCATTTCCAGCCTGTATGAGTAGGCTGGAGCTGCTCACACTCATTTATTGTTTGATCCAAAACATGTCCACACAGAGGCCCCTGCAACTGAAAGGCTAATAGGCCATTCACTACATGATGTTGGAGCCAAATGAGAATGGTATGTTATGACAGGTGATCAGTGTATTATTGATTAGGTGAAATGTTGGTATGACACACTGTTTGAGAGGTTGTTGAAAAGAAGCTTATTCCTGAACTTGACCTTTTTCAGCAAAAACAGTTTAAACCCAGAATTGTTTCAGAGAACAGAGGCAGGTCGGGGGACTGCCAGGATGCAGTCTTGTGAACAAACGGGCACAGTGTAATTCGGTGTTCTGCTGGTGTTGCACACTTAGGCTGTGTCCACACTACAAGCACCACAGCATTGCACTGTAGATGCTTCCTGCATTGGCAAAAGGGTTTTTTTTCCATCAGCGGGGTTAAGTTGCCTCTCCAAGAGGGAGTAGGTGGGTGAACAGAAGAATTCTTTCTTCAGCCTAGCCATGTCTAAACAGGGTAGTGGTTGACCTAACCACAGCGCTTATGGAGAGACATTTTCCACAGCCTTGGGCAATGTAGCTGTGTCAATCTAATTTAATGGTAGACCCAGACCTCTGTAACCCAAAGATCTTTACAAAGCAATGGGCTGGAAGATTAGTAACTGTGTAGGAACTGCATAGCGTAGCCATTACAATAGCCAGCAATCTGTGCTGCTCTGTGTCACTTAAGAACATAAGAACGGCCATACTGGGTCAGACCAAAGGTCTATCTAGCCCGGTATCCTATCTTCCAACAGTGGCCAATGCCAGGTGCTTCAGAGGGAATGAATAGAGCAGGTAATCATTAAGATGAAATTCACACACATCATACAGATAAGCAGCATGTGGTTTTTGCACCATTGGAATCACATTTAATACCTATTTTGAAGCTCTGAATGGGCTGTCAGTGGAATACAGGCCTTGTGTTGGCCCTCTGTACAAAAGTGAATTTCACCTCCAAGGACACACTTCACTAGTTTCTGATATCTTTTAAAGCGGAAGATGATTTACGATAATTTTCCCTGATCATTCTGCCTATTATCCTACCTCCCATAGCAGCAACTAAAGACCAGAGGGTTTGAAATTATCCATCATTTTCTTAGAATAAATAATAGATGCCTTTAGTTTTCGCAAGGGGAAAACAGGATTACAGCTTGTGCAGTGCAGTTCAAAGTTAAGCTTTCTTTGAGGTGGACAAACACAGTCAAATGAAAGCAAATTAAATACCAGCTCTTTGAAAGCCCTTTGAAGCTATATATTCAGCAAGGCATGTGCATCTATTGAGAGTTCTGCTCCACCCTCTCTTTCCCCCTCTCCTCCCTGAAAGCAACAAATCCCAGTGTATCCTAGGCTGTGCAACACAGCACAAAGAGCAACTGGAAGTGTTTGTCACGTCAAATAACCACAGCAACTGGTCTCCACATTAACCAGCCTTGTTGTTCTGATAGAGAAGACAAAAATAGATTGTACCAATGTTGTTCTAAAAGACAAAGGTGCTTAATTGGCCCTTGGCTTCACAGTACTGTGAATAATAAATTGCAGTGCAGTGAAAGTGACCTGCTCTAGTTTAGGCCTGACCCCGTCTGAGCAGAGGGGCATAACCGGCCCGGCCCTTATCCATGGTAGCCTTGCTTCTGACTGAGTAATAGGGGCTTCAAAGACTTGCATAGTCGGTGCTCCAAACAGGTTTCAGAGTAACAGCCGTGTTAGTCTGTATTCGCAAAAAGAAAAGGAGTACTTGTGGCACCTTAGAGACTAACCAATTTATTTGAGCATGAGCTTTCGTGAGCTACAGCTCACTTCATCAGATGCATACCGTGGAAACTGTAGCAGACTTTATATATACACAGAGAATATGAAACAATACCTCCTCCCACCCCACTGTCCTGCTGGTAATAGCTTATCTAAAGTGATCATCAGGTGGGCCATTTCCAGCACAAATCCAGGTTTTCTCACCCTCCACCCCCCCACACAAATTCACTCTCCTGCTGGTGCTAGCCCATCCAAAGTGACAACTCTTTACATAATCAAGTTGGGCTATTTCCTGCACAAATCCAGGTTTTCTCACATTCCCCCCACCCCCATACACACACAAACTCACTCTCCTGCTGGTAATAGCTCATCTAAACTGACCACTCTCCAAGTTTAAATCCAAGTTAAACCAGAACATCGGGGGGGGGGGGGGGGTAGGAAAAAACAAGAGGAAACAGGCTACCTTGCATAATGACTTAGCCACTCCCAGTCTCTATTTAAGCCTAAATTAATAGTATCCAATTTGCAAATGAATTCCAATTCAGCAGTTTCTCGCTGGAGTCTGGATTTGAAGTTTTTTTGTTTTAAGATAGCGACCTTCATGTCTGTGATTGCGTGACCAGAGAGATTGAAGTGTTCTCCGACTGGTTTATGAATGTTAGAATTCTTGACATCTGATTTGTGTCCATTTATTCTTTTACGTAGAGACTGTCCAGTTTGACCAATGTACATGGCAGAGGGGCATTGCTGGCACATGATGGCATATATATATAT